CCCCGGCCAAGGCCGCCGCAGCCCAGGCCAAGGCCAGAGGCTCCCCCAGGAGGACCAAGGCCCCCTTAGCCGCCGCCGCTGCCCGGAAACGCGCACTTCTGGCGGCCAACGAGGAGGAGGACCGAGAGATCCGAAAGCTGGAGCGCTGCCTCGGCTTGAACAAGCGCAGAAAGAAGGGCGACGGTAGCTCCGTGCCGCTTAGCTTTGCCCGCGATGGACTCGACTACATCCTGGGAGCCCTGGAGTCTGGGGGAAATAGTGCCTTGTATGAGAGCAGCAGTGAGGAGGAGGAGGAGGGGGGCGCCGGACAGACACTCCCGGAAAGTGATTCAGAGACTGACACCGAGGACGAACGGGAGGCGCAGGACGTGGAAGAGGAAGACGAGCGGGAAGCAGAAGCCGGAACGCAGAGCGAGGAGGACGACGAGGACGACGAGGACGAGGGAAAGCGAAAAAGCGGAGGAGCGGAAGGGACAGCGAAGAAGAAAAGGAGGCAAAAGAGAGTCCGCTTTGCGGAAGATGAGGAGAGGAGTGAAAGTTCCTCGGAGGAGGCTGACGCTGCAGATCAGGTATCGTGTGAACTAGTTAAGTCCTCCGGGATTTCCCCTCCCCGAGGCACGGTGGGGGCGGAGCTTGGGGCAGAAGCGACGCGGTTGATGTCTTGGCAATTGAGCGAGTGTGGGTAAGTCGGGTTATTTAAATTTCCGTAACAAAGAGACGTGGGAGAAAACATCTCTAGAGATCTTCCATCCCAGAGACTTAAGGGCCATTCCCACCGTTGTCCTGAGGCTCCGTCTTCTTTCATGTTTGCTGCCTCAGTCTCCAGGCCTGACTTTGACTCCCTCTCCCTCGCTTTGTTCCCCCTGTGATGTATCCCAGGGACACCAGCACCCCTGACTCACCTCTGCCCTCTTCAGCCCCGGGCGTGAACCTCTAAAACAAAGTGATCCACAGCCCTCCCTTGGACAAAGTCTCGCCTTGAAGATCAGGTTCAGAACCCACAGCAGAGCAGCTGGGGCCTCTGGGGCTGGCCCCTTGCCGGTTAGACCAGCTTCCCCGCACCAGGCACCTTAAAGGTGGCCGTGTGGAGTCGCTTGTGCTTCCTCCTCCGCGGCTCACTAGTTCAGCATTCTGCCTCTAAGTTACTGTTTCTGCTGCCTGCAAAGCCTTTCCCCATTTTCTCACTGTGTTTATCTGCTCATGTCAAACATCTCTGGGAACCTCCCCACCCCCCTCCTTAGGTACGCAACCTATCTTTCGTTTCTGTCCCTGATACCTTACACTTGGCACTTTGTGAGCACGTGCTCAGTTGCTCTCTGGGATCTTCATTTTTTGACTCTTCCTGGGTCTCTGTCACAGCCCGTGGAGGTGTAATTGACATACTAATGGCTGTCTCGGGAGGAAGTTTCCAGTACAGAAATATGCTTTCTCCACCTAAGCTTGAAGTCTTAACAGCAAGGATCAAGCCTTGAAGATGTCTGTCATCTAAAGGCTTGTGGTGTAGGTGTCCAGGGAGTGTTGATCAGTGAATGATGTGTGACCCTCTAAGTTGAAAATCTAGGGAATGGTGAGCAGTGGGTGGATTTTGACTTTATCATGTAAATTTAGTTACTAGTTTTTAACCAGTTTTAAATTATTTTGGAATGCTTTTCCTCCAAAACTGGTGGTGCGTGTGATCCAGGTGTCTGTGCTGCGGCCCCTGCTGTAAACTAAGGATGGCAGAAGTGTGGAGGACAGGGCTGCGTTGAGCGGGTGACAGGGGTTCAGCCAGCGCTGAAGGACTGCGAGAAGTGAGATGATGAAATGCAGTATTGACTGAAAGGGCGTCGCCCCGCCCAGGCGAGTGGGGCTTGTGCAGTCGGCCAGGCGCACAGCAGACATCTGATGTGCATTGAGCAGCCGTGCTCAATAGTGACAGCTTCTACCAGGTCTTGGGGATTTAATGTCTAAGTGTGAATATAGCAAGGGGGAAAGTGGGATTTATTCGGTGTAAATTTTTTGTAATTTGTTTCTACCCTTTGAAGCAGAGTCTTTGTGAAAATGGTGGAAAGTACAAACCACCTCATGTGAGGCGAGCAGAGGAGACAGTGGATGCGCAGAAAAAGGAAGAGCTGGAAAGGCTGAAGAAACAGGTCAAAGGTCTGATTAACAGGTAACCTGGAAGCAGTTCATTGTGTCACTTCCAGAGATCGTCTGTTTTCTAGAAACAGAGGGACTATTCCGGGAATTAAACCAAAGCCTGCGTTTTTTGTTTTGTTTTTTAATTTCTTTTTAATTAAAAAACAACCACTTTCCACGGTGCATCCTGGGATTTGAGCGGACGAGCCATTTGATGTTCAGTGTCAGCACAGGCGCAGTGCGTGTCTCCCTGTTTGGATACGTCCTTCCCGTCCCCACCCAGTGAGCAGAGCAGTCTTTTCTCCATGTTAGGAAATAAAGTCTTAAGCCAACAAAAAGGCTGTACGGTTGGGATTTTTCCCAACAGTACCTACCAATGTGCTGAGGATGGTTTGCTGCCCCTGCCTGGGGACCTCAGGTCAGGACATCGGTGGCGAGTCCTCATCACGGGCTCTGTGGGCTGCATGTGCGTTACTGTGGCCACGTTTCAGCTGGAAGTGAAGAGTAACAGTAGTGATATTACTCAAAGGTTCCAGAGAAGTCTGTGCTGTGTTCATAGCTGTGGGTCACTGAGGCGAGATAAGGATTGTTCCTGGGGCAGATGTGTACGTCAAATAGGATTTCTTAGTAGCAGTGATAACTGCGGTTTTTTAAAATTGACCTGAAGAATAATTCCTCACTTGAGACCCCACTGTTGCTCTGTCTGCCCCATGCCCGCAGGTTGAGCGAGCCAAACTTAGCCTCGATAAGCGGGCAGCTGGAGGAGCTGTACATGGCCCACAGCCGGAAAGACGTGAGCGACACTCTGACAGGCGTCCTCCTGAGTGCCTGCGCGCCGGATGCGGCCATGCCCAGCAGGCTGGTGATGGAGCACGTCCTCCTGGTCAGCATCCTTCACTGCACGGTTGGAATCGAGGTGGGGCCGCCTCTCCGGGCTGCTGTCTAAACGCTGCCTGTTTAATGATTGGCCGGTGAGGCTCAGTGCCACGCTGTCTGCGCCGAACATTCTAAACCACACTCAGTACGTGAGTGATGTCTTTGGCTTTGGCTATGTGCTCGGTCCATTCAGACGTGTCCTCGTGGTCTGTTAGTTTCCGCCCCTCTGGACTGACAGTTCGGACTTGCTTTTGTGTACCCGGTATCCCCCTGTGACACTGTCGGTTGTCCAGAGCACAGTGGTCTGTGTGGTGTTCGCTTTGGGCAGGAGACTGTCTCTTCATAAGAATGGAGGCCATCAGAGTGTGAGGTCAAACTGGGCGTTAAGTGAGAAGACGCATGACAGAGCCTAGGCCTGGAGCCTGGCCCCCCCACCCCCCAGGTGGGCCACAGACCTGTCGGTGCCTGCATCTGCGAAGTGGGGCCTTTGTCAGGATGAGATGGACAGTGTGTTTACGGCACCTGCTGCCCGGGGGGCCTGGTGCCGAACAGGTGCTGATTGGGGGCTGGTGGCCCCGCCCCGCCACAGGGCGTTCTGGGCCTTTGCTCAGTGACCCTTGTGTTGGCCCAGGGAGGCCCCACGGTGACGATGCTGGTTCCACGGTCACCCCCTCTTCCCAGTCCTTTTGTCACCTCCTGGTGGGGTCCTGACCTTCCCAGCCGGTGTCCAGTCCCCCAGTGTAGCAGGTGCCGGGGTCGCTGAGGGCGGTCGGTCTGGTGACGGGAGGCGGTATTCTGGTCGGTGAGTTGGTGAGCAGATGAGCGGGGCTTCGTTTCCTCGATGACATTTAAACTCAGGAGGAGCACGTGTCGGTCCCCTTGGACCTCTGCGTGGTGCAGTCTGTCTGGTTGGTGGTCTTTAGTGCCTTGGCCCTGTGACAGCCCTCCCCCAGGAACAGGCCGGCATCCTGGCGTCCCTGCACGCCCGGCCCCCAGTGTAGCCTCCACAACGGCCCGCAGGACGGGTCAGGCAAATGCTGAATTAGCCCCGCTCTCTTTTCTGTTTCAGGTTGTGTTTGAGTATAATACAGCGGTCATGATGAGGGAGTGTGTTCTGCACGGTTATTTTTAGGGAAGGGGCTTGAATTGGACGTTTACAGGTTAAATTTTTTTATAAGTCTGAGGTCCTTAGAGACTCAGGACTGTGTCCAGTCTGGCAGAGCTGCCTCCGCCAGGTCACTGTCCCTCCTGCTGGGCAGGTGCCTTCCTCTGGATTCTTCTCGCATTTACTTGTGGCAGCGTGGCAGTGGTGTGCGCGTCTTCCCGCTGCTCTCACCTGCCCGCTGGGTCTCGCTTTCACCACGATCTCAGCCGCCCGCCCAGCCAGCCGTGCCCACGGCTCCAGCTGCTCGGTCTTCAGATGAGCCTGCGCAGCGGCCGCTTCCCTGCTCCCCTCACGGGTTCCCTGCCGCAGTCAGGAGCTCCGTCATCTACCTGTGATCCAGGTGTCTAACCTCTCCTGTCCAGTGACTGGCCACACCCTCTGGCTGTGGCCCCAGTCCCTCTCAGCCCGGTCTTCCTGCCCAGGGCCCGCACGGCTGGACTGATCCAGGTCATCGTTTCTCCACTGCAGTGTGGATGCCACTCGGGCACCACCATGTCCCTGCTCCCGCCGTCCCCCTCCAGTCCCGCTGCAGCTTCAGAAGCAAGTGTGCTTGGAGAGCAGCACACTTTTAGAGAGAGAGTTGCATTCTTAGTGTTTTCAACAACTTTCTTTTTCCAAGGATCCAGAATGGCCGCTGACCGAAACATGCCCGCGTATCGACTGTCAGGACCAGCGTGCACTTAGAGCGAGGGTCGTGCGCCTGGGCACCTGCTGCATGTCCTGTCCTGTTCCGTGCCCTCCTGGGAGGCCTGTGCCCTCAGGCTGCTCTCTGTAGAGTTCGCGCCCTGTTGGAGTCTGTGTCTTACCACGTGTGTGTTCTATGCGCTAACCTAAGAAGTCCCGATTCTTTCAGTGCACATTTAAGTTGAAAGAGAAAGGAGAGTCCCTGTAGCTAAGTTGCTAACATTTGGTTGTTACACGTTTGCGACGATGTTCTGTTTCCTTTGTCCAGGTCGGCGCCCACTTCCTGGAGGCCGTGGTGAGGCGGTTTGCCAGCGTCTATGCGAGCGGCCAGGAGGGGAAGGAGTGCGACAACCTGTTCACCGTCATCGCCCATTTGTACAACTTCCGCGTGGTACAGTCTCTCCTCATCTTCGACATCTTGAGAAAACTTGTGGGAACTTTCACAGAGAAAGACATCGAGCTGATCCTGTTAATGCTGAAGCACGTGGGCTTTTCATTGAGAAAAGATGATGCTTTGTCACTCAAGGAGCTGATCGCCGAGACCCAGGCCAAAGCCAGCCGGGCGGGCGGCGAGTTCCAGGACCAGAGCCGGGTACGAGCCCACCACACAAACGAGTGTTCGGGGTAAATGCTACACTCGTCCCCGTGACCCGTTACCTTCTGCCTTGTCTGGCTTTGTGGCTTTATCTTCAAAATGTCCACGAACCTTGTTTCCTCACTATTGTGAGTGTAAGAGTCGATTTCTTTGACATTCAGCCACTCAGAAGACGTTGACTGAGGTGGCCTGTGGTGTGGGGCTGGGGGAGGTCCGCCTGCTCGGCAGTGACAGGTCCAAGTCCTCCAGGCCTCGGTTTCCCCATCTAAAAGTGGGGCCGATCCTGACTCCCACCTTGTTCGCTGTTCTGCAGCCTGTTGGGCACGGGAAGTCCTGGGAAGGCCTATGGGAGGGTGGGAGGGCTGAGCCCTTGGGGAATTGGGATTTTATCCCACAGACACGAGAAGGGTTCTGAGCAGAGGAGTACACGTGGAGTTTCACCGCTCAGGTCACTTTGGCTACAGCGTAGGAGGGAGGGAGAAGCCACTCGGCTTGGGGCGACAGTTCGCATGGGTGCCATGGGCACAGGTTTGGGGGTCAGAAGGGGCCAGACTTGGGGGGGTGAGGGGTGGTGGAAAGGAGGGGTCGGGGTGACTCCAGGTTCCCAGCTTGGGCCTTCAGATGGACAGCTGGTGGTTCAGGAGATGCAGACTCAGAAGAAAGGCTGGCCCGTGGTTGACAACCCAAGATGAGCTCCAGGCCAGCTCTGAGGGGTGGGGGGCCAAACCCTCCGGGGGTCCCAGGAGCTGTGAAGGTGGGGGAGTTGCCACGTGTTGAGGCGCTGGGGTGGAATGTCCCAATGGATACCTTGTCCCTCTGTTGAACGCCCAGAAGTCACATTTTGAACATGGGTGTCAGCAGACAGCGGCGTCTGACTTGTGCCTGAAGCTGGAGGAGCTGGGGGCAGGGTGGCCGGGCAGGTTTGGGGTGGTGATGACGTGTTCCACAGTTGATCGAGGTGACTGTGGCACAACCCTGAACGCACTAAGTGTGCGCTTTCTGTGGCTGTTAGAGCAGGTGGGTTCTGTCCCAGTTCCACGTGAAGGCCCGGGGACCTGGGAGGCGGGTGTGGGCGTCCTGCTGTTCTCACGGCTGCTCTCTGTGTGATGTTACTTTCAACTTAAAGTTAAAAAAGCAGAAAGGGGCGGGCAGGAGTTGCAGACGCGGAGGGGAGGGGAGGTGCTGGGGAGGGGGTGTCAGGGGTGCGGCGGGCAGGGGAGGTGCTGGGGAGAGGGGTCAGGGCGTGGCAGGGGACAGGAGGTCCTGGGGGTGTTCGTGTCCCCAGCGGGCGGGTGCAGGACCTGCACTCCAGTCTCGAATGGCCTGGAGCCGGACGTCCAAGTTAGCGTGGACTCGGCCTGGAGGCCACCTCTGACACATCCTGCATGAGCATGTGTGCAGAGGTGGTTTATTTCTTCTCAGGTTGAAATGAGGCCATTTGCAGTGATGGCTTTTCCTGCTTTTTTTAAGATCCGGTTTATGCTGGAGACACTGTTGGCCCTGAAGAACAACGACGTGCGGAAGATTCCGGGCTACGACCCCGAACCTGTGGAGAGGCTGCGGAAGCTGCAGAGAGCGCTGGTAACCTCCCTGTGCGCGGCTCTGAGCGTGGGCCCACGCCACCCCCCCCCCCGCCCTGCGGAGGGCAGCAGGGCCCCTGATCTGGGAAGGAAGTGTCCTGTGTCTGTGCTGGGACCCTGTGCGTGGCCCGAGGGCGGGGCTGAGAGCTGTGTGGGCGCCACACCAGGCCCGGCGGGGCCTCGGCTCGGCCACACAGCAAGGTCCTCTGATTGCTTTGAAGAAGGGCCTGGGCCAGTAGGTCAGCATCGGTGCTGGGGGGCTCATCCGAGTTCCTTGGGTGTTGCTAACATCGGGCACATTCTTCAGCCCTGGTCTTTGGTCAGCCTGAGGATTGCTGACTCCAGCAAGTCCCAGCCCCTCCTGGTCAGAGTCTCAGCTGGTGGGGCTCCCCCGTGGCCTGAGTCGGAGCCTTTTCCCACCGAGTGGTGACTGTCCTGAGACAGCAGTGCCTGGGGTGACAGACGTGCAGAGCTCAGGCCCGTGCTGAGAGTTTGCCTCTGTCCCCGGTGTGGGTGACCCATCACGGCCCCGTGAGCGCTGACATGCAGAAGCGGAAGCGCCTGGCGTGAGGCGACCTCGACTTGAGCCATCAGAAGCAGCACCAACTCCTTCCCTTCCTTCTGTCAGGTGCGCGGCGCCGGCTCAGGGACAGAGACTCAGCTCCGTGTCTCCTGGGACAACATCCTGAACGCGGAGCAGACTGGGCGCTGGTGGATCGTGGGGTCGGCCTGGAGCGGCGCCCCGATGATTGACAACGGTCAGCAGAAGACCCCACAGAAGCGGCCCCTGGGGACGGTACGCCACCCTGAGCTCACTGCCACAGGTGCCTTCTGTGTCCCCTGCGTCTTGCTGTGGACTTCCCCGAATTTACCTGAAGGCCTCCTAGAAATGACTTGTTTTGTGCTGTCATTTAATTCCATTTCTGTGGTTTCCTCAAAACATTACATGAGAGACTTCAAAGTGGAGTGGAGTGAGGGGAACTCATGACAGTCAGGACACTCGGGTCACAGATAAGGTGGCGTTGTTCCCGGGAGACACGGCTCCTGGCCCATTGGCCCGGGTTTCTGACTGCCCACATCTGTGCTTTTATTTTCTTTACTACTGACCACAGTCTGCGTGTTACTCAGATTTCCTCCATTTCCCACGGCATCCTCTTTGTCCCAGGGCCCCGTCACACCTGGCCGTCTCTGTCCACCTGGCCGAGGGGCCTCTGCTTGATTCCGCTGCCTCAAGAAGCCCCCCGTCGCGCGGCGCTTCCTCGGTGGCCGTGAGCTCCTGCTGTCTTCTCTTCATGGGGCCGTCGGCCAGCAGCAGACTTAGCATCTCCACGCAGGGTGCACGTGCAGTTGACGGCGATGCTCGGGTCAGACGGCAGAACTATGCACGTTCTCTTCTGGACGCTTAATAACAGCACTAAGCCAAGAGCGAATTTCAGGGAGACGTTTGTGCGACCTTTGCCTCTGTCGTCCCTCCCAGGTCAGTGCGAAGATCCTGGAACTTGCCCGGAAGCAGAGGATGAACACTGACGTCAGGAGAAACATATTTTGTACAATAATGACTAGTGAAGACTTTCTGGATGCATTTGAAAAGCTTCTAAAGTAAGCCTCTATGTGAACGTTCTGAACTGCCGTTGGGTTAGATGCTGAGAAACGAGGGGGTCGGGCTTCGCACCGCGGAGGCCGGGCCTGGTGCTGCTTGGGGCCCAGGCCCTCCCCCTGCCAACAGCCCGACGCCTGGGGCTGCGGTCCGGCTCCTGCCCGCCGACCAGCTGACAGTTCTCAGGGGCTGTAGTTTGTCATGAGTTGCTTAGAACCTTCCTATTAAAGTTCTCTTTCTAACAATTTTACTCCTAAATTAAAACTTCTTGGTGTAGTTTCTATAATTAGTTGTGTAAGATTCAGAAGCACCTGTGCACTTTAACAAAGTACTCCTAAAAGGTCTGGTGTTGATTAACTTTGTTTCATTTGCTTCAGATTCAGAAGGAAGTATAGGGAAGTACTGCAAAAGTACAAACACTCGTCCAAACTGCACGCTGTGCACTAACAGGCAGGTTTTGCTGCTTACAGACCAAACGACGTGGTCGCGCGGGGTCAGTGACAGACTGTAGAGCGCTGGGTTCCCTCGCTGGGCTGCGTGGAAACACTGAGGTCAGAGGGTGGGGCCGGGCCTGGGGCTCCAGGCTCGCTACCCCCACCTCCTCTCCTCAGCTTACTTTTAACCAGACCTTCAGACAGACTGTGTTCCTCTGAAAGATTCTGCCTTAAAGCTGTTAAAATTTGGCAAATTGAAGATTAAGTTGTTGCTGTTCCTCTGTCTTACAGACTTGGACTTAAGGATCAGCAGGAGAGGGAAATAGTCCACGTCCTCATGGATTGCTGCCTTCAGGAGAGAATGTACAACCCTTTCTATGCGTTCCTGGCCGGCAAGCTGTGTGACTACGAGAGGCGGTTTCAGGTGACAAAGCTGGAAGGCCGGCCAGGTGGCCGGCTCAGCCCCCCTTCAACGAGTGCCCCGAGTCAGGAGGCCCCTGGGGCCAGGGCTGCGTGCAGAGGGTGGGCACAGTCGGCAGCGTCCCCTGTGTCACCAGTGAGGGGCGGTACGACCTGGTTAACCGGCGGCACGTCCCGCTGGTTGATGCCACACCTTCCTTTCCTAACGTGCTTTTCTCATGTTCCTGCTGACTTGAGGGAAGACACAGCAGTAGAGAGAACCTACTGTGAAGCTACTCACACAACTGTGTGTAGGAAAAGAAAGGGTAGTTGCTTCTAAGAGTCTTTATTTTTAGAGTTTTACGAACAAGGGGGGAAGGTGTGGCTCAGGAGTAGAGCACATGCTTAGCACGCACGCGGTCCTGGGTTCCATCCCCAGTACCTCCATTAAAAATAAATAAAAATAAGTTAGCCTAACCGCCCCAAAATAATCAAAAAACAAACAAATGAATAAGTACAGTACTTTTGTATTCTTTGTGTTTCCTTCTAAATTTGTTGAATTTTAGCTTTTTTTTTGTATCTTTCTATTAGATGACTTTCCAGTTCAGCATCTGGGACAAATTTCGGGATTTAGACAATTTGCCAGCCACTAATTTCTCTAATTTGGTTCATCTGGTGGCCCACTTGTTGAAGACAAAATCACTGCCACTTTCCATCTTAAAGGTGCGTGTAACGTATGCAGTTATTCGAAGCAATGAAATGACAGTTGACAGGTGAACCTTGGGCCATGGGGGGGTGCAGGGCGCCAACCCCGTGCAGGCGAAAATCCGAGTGTAACTTCATAGCCAGCCTTGGCCCTGTGGTCCCACACGTGAGCGTTCAGCCAGCCTTCGACCCCTGTGGTCCCGTGTGAGCATTCAGACAGCCTCGGCCCCCAGGGTCCTACAGCGCATACAGTTCTCAATTCAGAGCCGAGTTCAGAGCTCAGCTGTGGTTGCTTACACTCAGTACCTTAGGAAGATGTGTGTCCTTCGATTCTGAAGCACGTTTTTGTCATAGGAGGCGTCACCGAAAGCACACAGTATTCACGCGCCCAGGAGCTCTGGGCGCAGCTCAAGGTGTGGCGCGGCTCCGTGGATCTGTCTCCAGGCCGGGGATGCATGGGCACCGGCTACTGCCGAGTCGGGAGGAGGCGGGCGAGTGGGGCCGGGCTGCGGGCTTTCTTCCGTCGCCGTGGGGTGTTCCAGAGCAGGGGCCCCAACGCTGTCATGCTTCCATGTTGCTGCGTCCAAGTCGATGAAACAGCAGGTGCTCTGATGTTGGCCTGGAGTGGACGGTGCAGGCAAGATGCGGGAGCAGGTGGAGGGTGCCTGGCCAGTGGGACACTGGGGTCTGGGTGTCCTGAGAGCCGGTGCTGTGCAGGAACCTGGGGGCCGGGGCCTCCGCGCGCCCTGCCCCCGGGCCCGCCGCGCAGACTGCAGCTGCGCTTTCCTGCTCACGCGTCCTGCTCACCTGCTGCAGGCGACCTCCTGAGCCTGCAGGCTGGGGTCTGCAGTGAAAGTGGGGGCCCGGGACCTCCCACGTGCCTTCTTGCCACCAGGGTGAGCCTTGCCTTCGAGTCTGAGCTCAGGGTGGCGTGGAGTGCGGTGCGTCCCTCAGGTGCACGGGAGCCCAGAGGTGTCCTGCGAGCGGCCGTAGCCCCAGGCCAGGCCCCCTTCAGAGGGTCCCGCTACCTGTGTGTCCGCGACAGCCCCCACGTCGTTCTGTGTGGTTTTAATCTCCATACAGAGAGTTCCGCTGTCACCATACTTTAAAAAAAAACAGTGTGATGGGCGCTCTCTGCAGGGATACCGTGCAGTTTTAATTACATTGTCCGATCGCTTGTTGCTGCTGTGAGGGAAACCTGAGTTTTGCTGAGCTTGTGCCAGGTCACCTGAATTTTCACGTTTAGCCTCTGGGGGTTTGACGAGAACGATCAGATCACCAGAACAGCTGCTTCTGTCCCTCCTCCCCGAGCCAGCAGGACGTTGTGGACTAGAACAGGGGCAGGCGCTCCCGGTTTCCTCCTGGCGTCAGTGAGGAACACTCGTCGTGTTTATTTGTCAGGTGATGTCTCTTGTAGTTTTCTGAAGTTCAGGAGTTTTCTTCTTTTTCTAGTTTGTTGCTAGTTTTTCTCTCAGCCTCCAAGGAGTTTGTGTTCAGTTCTACCAAGGTTTTTGTGTTAAACGAGGTGTTGACAAACTACAGCTTGGCGGTCAAATACGATTCACCACTTTGTTTTTTTAGAGCCCATGATCTAAGAATGGTTTCTGCATTTTTAAAAGTTGGGGGAAAGTCAAAAGAAGAATAAAGCCATATAAAATTCAAAATTAATGTCCGCAGACGCAGTTTCACTGAAACACAGCCACACCCGTCCACACTCCCCCACAGCGGCGGGGTTGAGCGGTGTGGTGTCCTTTAGTTATTTTTTTAAATTCAATGGAAGTTTGGAATTTATCCATGTTGCTATCTGTAGTTGCAGTCTCTGCTTTGATTTGATTACTGCTGTGTAGTGTTCCCCTGTGTAAGTGTACTGTGATTTATGTGTGTATGAATTGGTTCCTCCTGGATCCAGATTGTGTGTGTGTGTGTGTGTGTGTGTGTGGCTTTAATTAGGGGGGTAGTTTCTTTAAGGCATGGAGATGGTATGTTTCAGTTCTAGAAATTAGTTTCCTGAATGACTAGGTACCCACCCCCGATCTGGACTCGCCGCTCCAGGCCACTCTCCACACTGCTGTGATGCGGTGCCAGGGCCCCACAGTCTCGCCAACAGCTGTTCATTTTGTAAAACTGGAAATAGCCTTATTTAAGGGGGTGGGGGGGTTACTTTTTACTCAAACTGTATTTAGAAATCATTGAAAAGTTGGCTTAAACCAATGTAACTTTATTATTTTTTATTCTGGCTCTATTAGGTCGTTGAATTCAGTGAATTGGACAAACCCAGAGTCCACTTCTTAAGAAAAGTGTTATATATGCTGTTAATGGAAACAGAGGTTGAAGACCTTGGTTTAATTTTTGCAAGGTTGGTTCCCAGCTTGCTCTGATGAAACGTATTGAGAGGAGTGATTTCCGCTCCTGCTACTTTGGAAGCGCTTACGTGTAGCTGCTCCATCTTAATTGTAATGATGTCTCGTACATCAACTTGGGGAGCGGGAAGCCCGCCTAACAGCAAACCAGTAATGACTTCTAGCAGATAGAACACGTCCTGAAGTCCTTAACTGAGAGCTCTGCTTGGGACAGAAACCAGGTGTGGCTTCCTGTTCAGGGTTTCTAGAACCGAGGCTGGGGGCCTGACGGGTCACTGCCCTGACCGCCTGTTCTGTTCCCCCGCAGGGTGTCGGACAACCCCGCGCTGGGCCTGTTGCGGGAGGGCCTGAAGCTTTTCATCAGCCACTTCCTGCTGAAGGGCAGCCAGGTCCCCGGGAGTGCCGAGGAGGCCAGCGTGCTCAGGGAGAGAGCTGAGCTCACCACCAGGTCTCTGCAGGGAAGGGCTTCCCTGAGGATGTAGTCCGGGGGTGGGGGGGTGCTCATCTGTCTGTAAAATGTTCTTTGTAAACTCAGAAGGCCCGTTACTCTGCTCCGTGTAAAGCCTGGTGGAGCTGTAGCACAGTCTGATGTATTTAAAATGTATTTTGATTGAAGTTATATTGTATTTGTGTTTTGAACCATTGTCAAATAACTATATCTCTTTGTACGTAGTGGAAGCGGGAGGGGGAGTGGCAGACACTGGACAGTGTTCTCTAAGTGATGAGACCGCGAGGGGTGTGCCAGTGTCTTATTTTTTTAATAGACAAAGTAGGCTTCCAGGCAGTGCACGGAAGTATTTCTTTTCTTATAAAGAAATTGATGCATTTTTATCTTTTTTAATATATTGGTTAAAAGTTCAAAAACCATCAGTTAAACGTGCCTGGTGTTTGATTATTTCAAGTATTTGGAATGCAAGTGTTCCGGAAAAGTCATCAGTAAATTCAGGCCTCGCAGGTGCCGGCAGAGCACGGCCTGGGGGCTTCCTGGTCACTCCTCTAAAATTCCGGCATCGTGAAGGGTGTTCCTCCCCGTTTGTGTCCGTGGCTCAGCCCCATCAATTCCAGGTCGTAAGGCACTTTCCTGAACAACTTCGAGGTCACCAGATAGATGTTGGACACTTAACAGGTGCTGCTGCCGAGCTGGGTTCCGGCAGGTGTGACATGAATAAGACAACTGCCTGCCGGGAATGCATGTTTATCTGGCGAGAACCCCGCGCCCCGGCTGCCGGCGACGCATACCGTCGACTCTGAGGAGAAGCAGGAACGTGCTCAGACGCCTTCCATCTGCCACTGGGTCACAGATGTCTTCTTTTTCCCGCCCTTTGAACTTAGTTCTCTCTCCCTTCAGTCATTGAGGAAAGTCACCAAGATGTGAGGACAGAACAGTAGTTTGTACACAGAGTCACACAGGCCGGCCACACCGCCCATCCCAGTGGCCACCTTGGCTCAGGCCCTCAGGCTCCCCTGTGAAAGTCACACGCCTTTAAGCACTAATGTGGCCCTGCCACAGCGTGTGCCGAGACGCTGTGGCATGCAGTCAGTGTCTCCGGGGGGTCCCCGAGCCGGGGGTGCAGACTCGGGAACACCCCGAGATTAAGTGCAGAGCAACACGGAGACTGTCTGCTCTTTCTTGGGCTCCCCTCGCACCCCTGAGGCCACGTGACAAACCTGTGTATCTTCCAGCCAGTTCTGAACTCAGCAGAGAAAGAAGGCCAAGGGCGGGGTGGGGGGAGGCGCTGAGGTGGGCCGTCGCCGTGCTGGGCGCTTTTTCACAGTGTCTGCGGGGCGGGGACGGGCTGAGGTCAGCTCATCACTGTCCCCTCCCCTGGGGCACCTCGCCCTGAAGTCAGCGTCGGCTGAGCCCCTCGGCGGGGCGCGGTGACACAGGTGGTGTCCGCCCTGCGAGGCTCCCGTCCCCCTGTGACCTGGGCCAGGACCAGTCCCCGAGCAGCTGCCACGGCTGGAAACGTGGTAACGCAGGTGCTACCCCTTGTGCGAGATGCCGGTTTGCTCAGCTGACTTTCCTGCAGAAGATAATCTTCTGTAACCGGAGCCCCGTTTTTACATCATCTCTAATTTTTAAAACAATAAAAGTGTCTTTCCCTTTGCCATGGAGTATGTTTGTGACTTAATTCATTGCTTAAGTTTTGCATTTATTACATGGCAGGTTATCCAAAACTGTCTTCTTTAGATGGAACACTGGGTTTCCACGTGATCATAATTATGCTTTCAGTAAATAAGTACATCTTGAGCAAAAGCTACTGTGAATTCAGAACTGCTTTTATTAAATATGAAGGGGTTTTAATTTATTACAATAATAATTCACATCTGAGAAAAGCGCAGGCCACTCGGCCAGCGCTTGGTGCCACGTGGGCCCTTGGACTTGGGGTGCGGCTGAGAGCTGTTGATGTAGAGAGTTTCTGATGTGTAGGAAAGAAAAGCTGGCTTTTAAGGAATTTATCTTTTGAAATAGAGGCAGAAGGAACAAACTTCCCAATGTATTAAAATGTACACATAAAATCCGTTTTTCCTGTTTTGTGTCGGGGCCAGTGAAGGTTTGCTTGGAAAGAAGAGGCTTGTCGGCAGACGGAAGGCTGCACCTAAAAGGGCCTCTCTGTCCCTCTCCCTCTGTGCCCGTGGACAGAGAGAAAGCAGGTGAGGCAAAATGCTAGTTGTCACTGAGCCTGGGTGGAGTTTATATAGATGAAGTATATGTTTATCATCTTCTGTAAGTTTTAAATTATTTGAAAATAAAGAATTTTAATAAAGCATTCATAATGCAGAACTCATTCTTCAAAGGCCTAAGACACTGATGTTTTTTCATGAAAATAGCTAAGCTAATTCAAATCACTTTCGCCTCTTCTGTGAAAAATCAACGAGGCCTCCCTGTGCGGCGGTGACACTGCCTCCATTGGTTCACTTGTGAGGCGCCCTGGGTGAGCAGGAGGAACCAGCGGGGCTGCAGGGACGGCCCCCTCGTTAACTGACCAAAGCCTGGGGGCCGGGGCATCAGTCACCAAGAGCTCGGGGCACGAGGCTGCTGGCCTGTGTGCAGGTGACGTCCCAGTGACAGCGTCTTCCCTCGAGCCACCCCGTCCGCAGCTCCCTTCCAGCCCTCGGTACCACGTGAGTCTTTGTGCTAAGGCTGGGCCGTCCCTGGACCACATCAGCCTGAAGCCCCTTCTAGGGAAGACGTGGGGAGTACCGGGACTCCTTGATCCCGTTCAGCATTGGTTGGGGGCCTGCTTGATGCCAGCCATCACGCTGAGCCCAGGGTGAGCTTGAAAAGTTCACAAGTCTCATTTGTCAGGTTGGGTCCTGCAGGTCAAGTGCACCAAAGGTGTGATGAGGACAGCCAGCTCTTCCCAGCGGGATGCTTTCCAGAGGAAGTGACGTTTGGACCGGCTCCTACAGGAGGACGTGAGAGGCAGGTGTGCCAGGGTCAGGGGGCCCTGGGACGCAGGACAGACAGCCAGCAGGGCACCTGCAACCGGATAGTGACGGACCCCTTCTCGCTGGGGAGCTGGGGATTTACCTGGTCAGCGACAGGGGCGCATCACAGGGTTACTGGCAAGGAAGTTACATAATCAAGGTCATGTTTTCAAAACTATTGCTGGATGAAGGCTGGCAAGTGAGACCACCCAGACAGTCCCTGTCACCTCCGGGCAAAAGTGACACACCAGACCAGAGGAGCAACTGTGAGAAGGAAGGTTCTGGGGACCTTCCCCATGGACGCATCAGAAGTCGGTGCCTTGAGATGAAGAGGGCCTGGAGGAGGGAGGGGCTCGGGGATGTCTCCCAGCCTGGGGGTCACGGTTGTTTGAGGGTGCAGACTCCACTCTAGGGGGGTTGGAGCCCCTCGGGGGGCTAAGTTCTGAGAGAGGGCCCAGGGCAGGATGCCGGAGAGAGCAGAGCCGCGGGAGGACCTAGAACGGGCCCCAGGGGTCGGTGCTGGGAGCCATCCGCAGCCAGATCAGACGTGTCCAGGGACGGAGGCTCTGGACGGTGCAGGCAGCTTCCCGCAGAGACTACCGTTCTCAAGCGCTGGGAGCCCCTGGAGAGCCTCGCGCATCTCCCCAGGCGCCAGGCGCTCAGCACACGTGGGTGCTCAGGTGACTGCTCTACACACGTGTGCTCAGAGCGCCGCGGAAGGCCGGTAGAGCGTGCCTTTTCTTGGGAAGGTAACACTGGCCTGGGAGCCGGGTGATCGCTTTTTCTCACCCTCCGTGTCGGGTCCTGTTCCTCGCTGATGAAGCCGGCAGGAAAGCAGTTAGTTCGCAGGGCGATGGCGTTTATCTTGAGCGGGGCTGGATAAGTGATGAAAAATGATGTTTGTGTGATAAGATGAAAGGGGAAATGGGGAGTGATGTAGAATGTTCTAAGGCTGCAGAGGTGATTTCAGGAACACTGAGGGCTGTGTGTGTTTGGAAAACAATGCCTTGTGTGTGCCCACGGGCCGCTGGAGCTGCGATTTTGACCTTGAGCATGTCCAAACCAGGATGCCCAGCCATGGCCTCGGGAGTTACCACGTGAGCGCCTTCCCTGCTGCAGAAGTGTCAAGTCTGCGGAAGAGTGACTGACCCCTCCGTGGGCCTCAGCCTTTCCTCTGCCCTGGGGAACCGGCTCGTGGTCCCCTCGCCTCCCTGGTGCGCCCTACACAGCCTCAGCTGCTCCTGCTGACTGAGAGGTGAGGCGACAGCCCTCGACCGCCCAGTGAAATGGGATTAGTCTCAGGCCGAGGTAAAAATGATTTATGAGCATTTAAAAATAAAAAATCATTAAAAATGGACTGTTTCATTTTTGTCAGAAGTGTTTCCAAAGAAAGAGGGCAAGTTCTTTCACTTTTGTTTTTTTGGTTTGCCAGTTGTTAACATTCACCACATTGGTTTTCGTCTCTTTTATATATAATACACAACCATTTATACACACACATGTTTTGATAGCATTGTCTGGAAGTAACAGGCATCGTGACACTTACCTCTGAAGCTGTCAGCCTGCATCTCCTGAGGACAAGAACCTTCTCCAGTTACGGCGACTGCATCACCGCACCTGAGCTCTCGAACATCCATCCAGTGAGGCAGTCCCACAGACGATCCAGTTCTCATACTGCCAGTTGATATAAAATGAGTTTTCTGTGGCTGCTTTTTTCCTAGGTAGAATACAATCAAGGTTCAGCGTCACATTTTCTTTTATTTCTCTTTTAGCCTAGAACATCCCCCGCCCCTTCTCACGAAAAGCTCTCACGAAACTGGGTTTTGGAGAGTCCTGGCCCATTGTCATGACGCATCCTGGTTGTGTGCAGCAGCTTCGGTGTAAACGTGATTGGGACACTCACTGCAGGGGACACTGGCGCCTTTCCCACTGCACCTGGGACACGCAGTTGGCACAGATCATGGCTGGTGGCGCTCGGTCACCTAATTACAGCTAAGGCCAGCAGACCTCTCCCCCGCAAAGGTACGTTTTTGCCTTTGTCATTACCAAGGGAAATTAATCACCAAAGTTAAGGACATTTTACAAGGGAAAAAAGTTGACGCTCCCTGGTGGCCTAGTGGTTAGGATTCCGCGCTCTCTCACAAGGGAAAAAAGTGGCTAAACACATGGGTTTCCTGTCCCCCTCAGCCAACTATTTTGCCTCGTGGTCAGGCAGCCATTAATGACTTGCCAGAATCAATGATTACTCGCAAAAATAGTCATTTTCGAATTCGATCATTCCCCCTTCACTGCTAGCGGGCAGTCTTCTTTTTTTTTAACATTTTTTTATTGAGTTATAGTCATTTTACAACATTGTGTCAAATGCCAGTGTAGAGCACAATTTTTCAGTTATACGTGAACATACACATATTCATTGTCACATTTTTTCCTCTGTGAGCTACCGCAAGATCTTGTGTATATTTCCCTGTGCTATGCAATATAATCTTGTTTATCTATTCTGCGTATGCCTGTCAGTATCTACAAATTTTGAGCTCCCAGTCTGTCCCTTCCTACCCCCCGACCCCTTGGCAACCACAAGTTTGTATTCTATGTCTATGAGTCTGTTTCTGTTTTGTGTTTACGTTCTGTTTCTTTTTTTTAGGTTCCCAGTCTTCTTTAAAAATGTGTCTTCTTAAACCGCTCTCCCTTTTCCCGGGGGAAGATCAGACTCCGCCCACCTTGAAATGACGGCGTCACGACAGGTGATTGTTGTCCTCGGCTGCGGCAAGTGCAGGGGACGTCTTCCCAGCAAAGCCTGTGGGAGAGTCGGGCTGGGGCAGGGGGTTCGGGGAGCGTGGCCCCGCCTGTCGGGGAGATCCTGCCAGGTGGAGGAGATCCCCAGCTGCGCAGACCGAGCCTCCATAACTCACAGCTGCGTCACCCTGAAATGCCAGCGTAACTGCCCTTCCTGGCGTGGTACCCAGGTTTGGGTGCATCTTCCTATTACAGCCTCAGCACAGCGTTGTTGCCTGGTCCCCGGGCAGCCCCGTCTCATCTAAGGCATGGTGATGCTCGGTAGGCATGCCGGTTGGTCAGGCACAGGTATAGAGGGGACCAAGGACAGCAGACCTGGCCGGTGCTGCCACCAGCCCAGCTCAAGGCCAGCCCCCTCCACTGACCCACGGCGGCCGCCCTCCTTCTGAGTACTATCCTCTATAAAGGCAGTTTGCTGCCCACGTTCCTCCAAGTGCCCGGGCAGGCCTGGGGGCACCTGGAACAGCAGCAGTGACGTCCCCAAGACGCCAGATGAGCTCACTGACAACTGGCTGAGTCCATGCTGTTCTCATTTCTCTTCTCACGGGTATTTACTCCTGTCCGTGGAGAGCAGGCCGAGTGCCCAGTGCTCCTGGCCTACCCAGGGCTGAGCGGGCTTCGAGACCCAGGACTTTTGGTGCCTTGATGGGTTGGTCACCCCAGTGCACAGCATCAAGCAAGAGCTCTGGTGAGGTCTACGGGGACAAGCTGGGGGGTGGGAACCAGAGAGCAGGGCCAGGAGGTGGGGCTCGTCACCCCGCCGACCGCCACCCCGCCGGCCCAGGAAGGTTCCCGGCAGCAACTCCGGGTCTGTCTCCACACCCGGCATTTCCTCTCCCCCATATTTGCATCAATAACTTGGCCAAAACTATATATAAAATAGATAAACAGCAAATTTCTTCTGTAGAGCACACGAAACTATATTCAATGTCTTATAAAAACCTATAATGAAAAAGAATCTGAAAAGGAATGTATGTGTGTACGTATGACTGGAACATGATGCTGTGCACCAGAAATTGACACAGCATTGTAAACTGACCCTACTTCAACAGAAACTTGGCCAAAGAAGGTGTGGCTTATCAGGTTTGCTGACAGCCTGACTTCGGCAGGGGTAGAGGCGCTACTAAGAATCCAGAGTCTGTGATTTTACGACCTGTGGTGAGTTTTGTGTCCTCCAAACGACCTGGCACTGTTAGTCAGCAGGTAGGTTCTTGTCTGGACACAGGAGGTGCTGGTGAATTTCTGGAGAGCAGGACCTCTCTCTCTGGTTACTTTTTCCTGAAGTGCACATTCTGAAGGTCTGAATTAGGAGCTTCTTTATAATTCTTAAATGCTGGTGGCTGATCCAGGACATTTTTACTGCCTCTGCGGAAATTATCCTTAATAAGAGTAAAACAAAGCTGGCAAAAAAAGTGCAAGATGAAACCAAGGCCCTGGAGGCCAGCCCGGCTCCCAGCATCTCAGATTCCAGTGCTCCGAAGGTACCTGGTACCCACACACCTTAAAACCCAGGGCTAAGATTATTTCTGTTATCGTCATGCCTTAATTTTGTCCAGTCTTGGCCAAATCACGGATTTCCGACAAAGATCCAGCCCTGAGCAGATGTGCCCAGGGGCACGGTTATCAGACGAGAAGTAAAACCGACGCGCCGCAAACACAGATTTCCCGGTGAGCACTTACCCAGGGCTTACCGTGCACAGAAAAGCAAGCTCATGTGTTCACGGTATGAGACACACTTATTTAACGCATCAAGAATTCAGTGTGCTTATTTGAGATTTACGTCAGCCTTGCCCTGGAACTTCTGGAGGAAGTGCTTTCCGACCTGGCCCCACGCTAGCCGGTAAGGCCCTTCAGGGGTCGCGAGCGCCCTGGGGGTCTGGGGCTTGCATGGACGATGGCAGGTTTTAAACCTCTCTGCTTTCTAAATCAGGTTTGATGGGGTGGACAGGGTCTGCTTCACTGCGTCAGTGACTGTGGGACTAACTGATAAATCAGCCACAGGGGCCAGATCTGCCCTGGGAAAGCGGGGCCACTGTCCCCGCTGCAAAAGTCGCCCCAGGACAGGCAAAACAGAGAAGCCGGAAAAACAAGGTGCACTTTGTGTCTGGGCCTTGACCTCCTTGCACTAAATCTTGGCCACTTGGGCCTGGAAGAAGAGTTCGCTTTCTCTCTGACGCCGGCTGGTCCCAGTCACCTCCCTGTCCAGCCTTCCAGCCCACGGCTCTCATGCTGGCTCCCTGGCCTGGCTCCTGTGAAGCTCGCAGGAGCAGAAACAGCCCGTGTAAGAAAGTCAGGAGTGAGCTGGCCACTCCCTCACCGCCATGCCCCAGCCAAGGGCAGCCCAGCCGGAGGGGCCTGGGCCAGTGACTTGTCTCCTGACAGCAGCAGCCAGGTGTGTCTGTCAGATCCCAGAGGGGGCTTGAGGGTCCTGCCGACCAGATCCTCAGGCTTAGGGGTCTCAGGGGGCCACAGGCAGGGGGACCCCACGTGCTGACTGTGGGCTCCCTACCTGCTTGGAAGGATGATAAAGCGCTTTGTTCCCTGTGAGTGAGAGGCCTGATAAAAGCAAAAACTCTCACCCCCACTGTGGTTAGGAGGCAGCTGGGCACTGGGAACCCAGCACCATTTATGAGTAAATATAATTTATTCCTGTTCTCTGATTAGGAAGGTCACGGTGGTTTAACCCTGTGGGGACGGCCCCCGACACATTATCTGCTCAAACAGAACTGGGAAAGAAAACACCGCAGTCATTAAAAGCGAATTACTTTGTTTTATGAAGATAGAAGAGAGAAGGCCTCACGGTGGGGGGGTGCTTCCATGGGCCCCCAGCCCCCTGCAGAGGGGGAGCCTTGGGGGGCACCCGGGGGGCACGAGCCCCCTTGGTGCCTCTTGGAAAACCCAGGATTTGTCAAGCAATTTTGAGAAGCTGCCGGGAGTGCACTGGGTGGCACGGCAGGGGTTTTCTTTACCTGGGAGGACAGGTGACGGTGGCGGGAAGGACGGCTGGGAGCCGGGAGCGCCCCGTGCTTCTGGCTTTAACGTTAGCAGAGGACTTAGGTTGCTGGACACACTGGCTTTATTTCTCAAAGTGAGATGTTTGGCCTCTGATCCCTCCTGCTGCTGCTCTGTGGGCGGCCCGGCCCTCGGACTCCTTGGGGCAGGCCCTGGCCAGCATTCTGAGTACTCGAGCCACATCTAGACATGCTGGCGCCTGAGACGGGGTGGCGCGGCCAGCCACCAGGAGCCCCCAGTGCACGAGGGCCAGCTTGCTGGGCTCCTGATGGAGACTCGGGCCCGAGGGCAGGTTTTCTCGGGCACCAGGCTGCTCGCCACTGCATCTGGGTGCTTGGCCACAGAGTGGGGACGGCCACTTCGGAGGCCCTGGGATGGTGGGGGCAGGTGGCAGGGCCAGCGGTGCTGGGGAGGTCCCGGCACGCATGTCCTGGGGGCAGGCTCGGCCACAGGGCCCTGGGAGGATCGCAGTACCTTTGCCGACAAGGGAAGAGCAACTTAAGTCATCGGAGCCCTTTTCATGTTCATGTCTGTGCTGGATACTGCAGGGAGTGTCCCAAAGAATCAAAACATACTCCGAATCGGCCAGTCCACAGAGGCAGAGGGCAGAGGAGAGGTCCCGGGGCTGGGGCGGGGGGAGGGGAGGGATTGTTAAGTTGGGGCAGAGTCAGGTCTCGGGTGATGAGAAGTTTGGGGAACAGACAGAGGTGGTGGCACAACACCGGGCAAGCACCGAACGCAACTGAGCTGTGTGCTTATGAGCAGTCACAACAATACCTCTCATGCATTTTGCCACACACACAGAAGAACCAGAGAACAAATACAGGGCAGAGTTAGTTATGATCTGATACCCCTTTCTCCCTTGGAATAGGACCCCAACTTTTAGTGAGGCCCAGGGACAACTGGAAATAAAGACTCGCTTCCCAACCTCTGGTGAAGCTTGGTGTGGCCACGCTATGACATCTAGCCAGTGGGATGGGAGTGAATGGGCCACGCTCAGAACTCCTGTGAAGGACACGCACGTCCCTGCCTGCCCTCTGTCCTGCTATGGGAGGTGGAACCCAGCCCCACCTTCGACAACAGAGGAAAAGCCACGAGACAAAGGGCCTGAGACCAGGGAGATCACAGGACCCCAGACCAGCCCCTGGCGGCCCAGGTTTACAGGAGAGGGACGTGAACTTCCAGCTGTGTGGGCCACTGTTCCTTCAGCTCTCGTGCCTCTGGGGTTGGCCTGATCCTAACTGATACACTGGCCAACAAGGTCCTCGAGTTTACGCAGCATGGGAGGCAGCGCTCTCGGTGGTGATGGACACGCACGGTGGTTTTGTGGACATCCCTGGGTGCTGCCCACTCCCGGGTACGCTCCAGGCGTTGTGCTCACAGCCTGCTCGACCCCAAGGCCCATGGCACGGAGAGCACGTCTATGCTGTTCTCTGCTTTCCGTCCAGAACCTGGCACAGTGTTGGGCACACAAGAGATGCTCAATAAGTATTAATCAGTGAGGTTGGGTCCAAGTAGCTACCCGAGCTCGCCTATGTGGTTGTACAGACTTGGCTTGGAAAGCTGGGCCATGCCAAGGAGTGTGTAGGGGATCAAATTGCTTTTTCTGTGTGAAGAGCCACCCCAAACGCAGTGACCTAAAACGGCAATCATTAGCTCATCTTTCTGTGGGTTGGCAGCTTGGGGGGCTCACTCTCAAGGCTGCTGACAACCTGTCTGTGGCCTGCGTCTAGCTGGCTGGCCGTGCCTCTCCGGGGCAACAGGGGCATGAGCCTTTTTCAAGGCTCCAGGAGGTGCCCCCCATCAAATGTCCCATCGGGCAAGCACGCCCCACATGGGCCTGGAGGAGGCGTGGCACTGGGGCTCTGGGCTCCGGGCTGCAGACTCCAGGCTGGCCAGAGAAGCAGATTCGGGGAAGCTGTGAGCTCGAG